GCAGAATTGTTTTGAAGCTCTTGGGCAAACCAGTGGACATCATTTGGGCCCAACACATAACTAGCAAGTGACAATGGCAGCCTTGCTTTATTTGGCTCTATTCTAAGCTTTAGGGAAGCCTTGCCAAGCTAGTACTGCTAATGCTGGAAAACTCTAAACCCTGTACTTTAACTCTATACTATCTACAGTGCATAAAAAACCCTTCTTAACCTTATAGTGTCTATAGTGCAAAAATAATCCTACCTTACCCCATACTATTAGTGCAAAAAATAACCCTACATAACCCTGTACTATCTACAATGAAAAAATAAGCTTACTTAACCCTATACTATACTATCAGTACAAAAATAATCCCACCTAGAACTGTAATATGTACAGTGAAAAAAAAAATAACTCGACCTAACTCTATATTCCAGGGGTCACCAGACTCGGTCCTTCAGAGTTTAGTTCCAACCCTAATTAAACACACCTGAAGCAGCTAATCAAGGTCTTACTAGGTATACTTGAAACTGTCCCTGCGTCCCAATGTGCATACTATCCATATCTTCCCTAAATAGTATTGAAAATTACTAATATCACATAGAATTTAGGATGGAGAGTATGCGCATTGGGACACAGGCTTTGTGTTGAGGCAAGTTGGAGCTAAACTCTGCCGAACACCGTCCCTCCAGGATCAGGTTTGGTAACCCCTGGTATACTCTCTACAGTGCAAAAAAATAACCCTACCTCACCCTACACTTCAGTGCAAAAAATAACTATACTTAGCCCTATCTATGGATTTTGTTTTGTATTTATTATTCTTGTTAGTTGGATTGGTAGAAACCCCATCAATCTGTCTATCTATCACCAGAGGGACATATTTACATTCTGAGACAAAAAGGGGCAGTATATGATCAAGAATGAAAGTGTATGATAAAGAATTTGGTAAAGGTGAAGATTTGAAATTGTTCATAAGATTAAACTTAATAATAAGACTGCTGATATAACAAATTAATTATTTATAGGGATGGTTAATGCAAAGACATTACTCAGTAGGAGCTGGTTTTACAGTAGAGTTACAGAGTGGGTTTCAGTATAAAACATCTGATTGCTTAAGAGCATGTATTTCGAGGCAGTTAAGATAATGACTTAAATGCTGGTTAAATTAACATTAAATTCAACAAAACACACAAATAAAACTATGTTAACTGACATATAGTAAAAAGCCAAAGAATTTGCACTGACCAGCCTGTAGCCCTTATTACTACTCATGTAAATACTCAAATTCTCCAATAGTCTGCAGTAGATGTTGGTCCATGAAAAGATGTGAGAAAGTTTGGAGTGAATGGACTAAAGGTAGTGAAATAGTCTATTATTTCCAAGCATTCACAGTCACCCGAGCAAGATAACGCATGATAAACAGTACAACCGTGATCTTATATATGGGTTATGGTTATATTTATTGTGCACTGTATTCAAATCTGTTTTTGTTAATAATCCCAGATGCATGCGTATTCTTAATATTTCCTGTATAATTACACAAATAGCCTTCAGAAAAAATGACGTTGTCATTTTTTACTTTTTTTTATTTATTTTAGAAATGAAACAATGAATATCATTTGATTTTTTTTTTTATTTAATATGTTTTTTGTTTGCATCTAACATTTTAATTCATTACTTAATTCTACAAAATTTAATAGTACGGCTAACAATGATTCCAAGATAAAAACAAAAATGTTTCTAATAATCCCAGATGCATGCGTATTCTTAATATTTCCTGTATAATTACACAAATAGCCTTCAGAAAAAATGACATTGTCATTTTTTACTTTTTTTTATTTTTATTTTAGAAATGAAACAATGAATATCATTTGATTTTTTTTTTTATTGAATATGTTTTTTGTTTGCATCTAACATTTTAATTCATTACTTAATTCTACAAAATTTAATAGTACGGCTAACAATGATTCCAAGATAAAAACAAAAATGTTTAATAGAGACAGGCAGTGAGAAAATTGGTCCACAAGTTCTTCTAGTCATCTTGGCTCCAATCGTCTTGGCTCTTTCTTGCGAACAACTTCAGAAAAAAATAATACACACAAATTATTTGACCTCAAATGTATTTGTTTAGATGATAATAAGTGGAGAGAGAGAATTGAAAACTGAGAATTGCCTGCTTTAGTCTTTCATATCCTGAGACGAATGACTTCTCCACAGCTGTGTCATCACCGGATCCAGATCCTGACAGATCCATTTCCACCAATGGCTAATAATTAAAGCAGAGAAATCAAATGCTGTGTTCTGCTTTACAACTCAGAACACAGTAGCCTGGATCAAACATTTACTCAAAAAATCTTGAAATAAAAATTTCAAGTAAAATCATTTCAAATAAATGATCTAAAGGGTATGACATTATCTGACATGGCTGGACACAGTAGGGACATCACCTCATGAAACTTAAAACCCCTCAATCCCTCATCATGAAATGCCAACATATGGGATCCAGGAAACTGAGAGGAAAAAAGAGCAAGAAAAAAAATCTTAAACATAAACATGTTTAATAAGGAGCATTACTACTAAGTTCATTTTCATAAACATTTGTCATGTTTTGTTTGACTCTCAGCAAACTGAGAGAAACAAAAGAAAACAGATCTGCTAATCATTATTTAACATGACTTAAAGAAGGAATGGTATAATGCTTAATAATATTATATTTGTACCTCAATTAAGTAAATTACAGTTTAGTTGCACCTCATGAGAAAAATTTATATAAAATGTAATGCTATTTTACTATATTACTAATATGGCAATATTAATATTGCAAGTAAAGTTATCATCTCTTATTCGTCAAGGCTCCTTGTATAAAGATGAAAATAAGTAAAACTTTGCCTCCAGTCAAATGTAGGGTTGATTTTTGCTTCATTGCACCAGGATAACTAGAGCCTAAACACTAGAGCTATTTGCTTCTGAGAGTGAGGAGGAAGTTACACAGCAATATTTATACTGAACCTTGTTATAAAGTCATGTGCATTTGCAATAATGACAAAATGTGCATGTTCCTGATAAGAAAAATGTTGCAAATGAAAGAGACACTTCCGTTTAATGATCACTATATATTCACTATATATTATCAAGTACAACTTATTTTGTATAGTATTGTTCACCATTTAGGATAAAAAGAATGAACATGTTTGGTGCACTGAATTATGTTCATAATTTGTTTTTAGAATGTTTATTTGAAAAATGTTGAAGTAAGGATCTTTTGCCAACAAGTAGAATTATATGTATTAGTATTACCTGCATTATATTAGGTCCTGTGATGAATGACTCCTCCATCTGAACTGGGGCTTCATCACCAGACTTGACCTGTTGTTATCCCAGATGGCTAATTAAAACAGAAATCAAAGCTGTGTTCCGGCTTTAGAATGTGGTAAAAAGTGTAGAGAAATGGAACTGTATTCATTCAGTCTGCAAACTCTTGGATCCAAGTTCATATATTTATTAATCTGACTGCCAACTGTGGATGTAGATAATGTAAGAGTATCAAAACTATACGTCTTATCTCAAATATCTGCAAGAGCAAGAGTGCAGATTGTATTCATTCATCAAAGATTTACATTATTAAGCAATCAGATTACCAAAAAAAAAAAACTTAAATATATTTAGTACTCAAAACCATAAATATCCAAGAGGCAAAATCAGTGAGCAAACCATTTTGATTTAAAAAACACCAAGTTGCAATACATTCATGTTAATTTAACTCTCTAATATTCTGTCATCTCTGTTGCAAGTAAGCTACACTGTATTGCAGCTCAAGAGGAAGATAATTTTTGTATAATATTGCTATGTGTAGGTGGTCATCTTACCCATGAATCATTCATATGACACATGGCTCCTTGTACAAGGATGAGAATTAAGAGGATTTTGACTCCTGTCAAATTTTTGGTTGCCTTAATTGTTAAAAGATGGAAGTAAATCAATACTAGAGACATCTGCTTCTGCAAGGTGTGGAAGCAATATTTATCTTGTAGCCATTAAGATTTAATCTAATATAGTCCAATTTATTTACTGCATTACAGTGAAAATAAAGTATGTGCCCAAGGACAAATATGTTGCATGTTTTTGTTTTATAAGAACATATTTTTAGATATGCTCTTATAAAACAATGTACATGTATTGAGAGCACATGTCAAAGTGCTCTCAACTGTATCTCAGGGTAGGAATAAGTCACTTGGTGCTGCTCATACAGTTTTCATCTCACTGAATCCCAAACATATAGTCTAAAAGCTTTGGCAAAGCCAGTGTAGACATTGCAGTTTGTGTGGATGTGAGGTTGTACATGGAGGATAATACAAATCACCCTCCCAATCAAACACCCCACACTCCTTTTACACAGTATAAACTAAGAAATGAACCTTAAAGGGAAACAGACTGAGTGCTATAGAAAGATAGAGAGACAAGAGATGCAGATGTGCAACCACAAGACTGGAGACAGTTGAACATCTGCACGTTTACCTGCCTAAACGGGGAGGATGTTCCTAGAAGGAGGGTCTTATCAGATTTAGCGAAGAAAATCGGTTGCACTTTATTTCACAGCATCCTTGTTACGGTGTAATTGTACTGAGTATTATTAATTAACCACACACACTTATTACGGGATTAGAGTTTTGTTTAGGATTATTGCATGTAATTATGCATAATTTACTCTTGTTACCATAGTAAGTATATTAATGTGTAACAAGGACACTATAAAAGAAAGAAAAAGTGTCCCCGAAATACACACAGTGTGGGCCGGAACATTTCTCAACCACTGGAACCTGCATGACTTGATATATATGCTGTTCACTAGAACTGATAAATGTACCTCATTGTGAAACATGAACATGTTTGTGTATTTGCATATTTACATGTAGGCTACTGTGAGAAACTATTTAAAAATGACCACAACACAGTTTTGCCTAATGTGAGCTCCTCTTGCACTAACAGTTAAATTAGGGGGTAACAAAGGTAAGTCCTCCAGCAGCACCCTTTGTTGTTCCAAGTGTGTATTCGTCGGTATAGTGTATTCACATGGATGCATTATTGACAGATTACACTGTTTAGTTTAAAATGGTATTTTATGTGTCTACATTCATTATTTTGGTATGAATACTGTATGTTATGATTTGATGTGGGATATTCTGAAAATTGTTTTCTGCATACTTTGATGTTCTACTGTTCTACACCAACATAATTGAATCTATTTATTCCAATAAATCATTACTGCCTTTACAGTTTTAAATAAAACAGATGTGCTGATGCTGGGAAATCTGAGAGGTACATTAAGAGATATAAGACCAGGGAACGCTTTAACGATTGCCCTTGAGGAAGTTGTCAACACTCCTAGATGACAGTACAATGGAATGCAATCCACATCAACAGCTGGGAAATTGGGGTTCATTGTCCTAAAATTCCTGGGAAAGAGAGGAGGGTAATCAATCCATGGTGGAAATGTTTGTCTGTCCTGCTCATGGGTTTTTATATATCATGAGTCTGTTTGTCAATTTTTGATTTCAAGTGCTCCTTGTAAGCCAAAATGTCCCCGTTCCATTTGGTGATGGTCTGCTTTTCACACACCCAAATTTCCTGAGCCACCTAGAATGAGATGGAAAAGTCATCATCACACAATCCAGATCACAGACATCTAGGGCCTGTTTACACCTGGTCATTTCATGCGTTTTCACTGATCAGATATCTACTGTATCTGATTAGTTAAAACGTTTCCATTTACACTTGGCCACATAAATGTGTTGTCGCAAAACGGATATAAATCCGATCTTCAATTCCCGTGCTATATTTAAATTTAACGGAGTTCACGCCAACGAAATCAAAAGATAAGCGCTGCATTTTATTAATCAGCTCATTTCAAGATCAAAGACCACAATAGGAGAGCTTATCTTTCCATCAGCACTGGAAAGATAAGTTTGTCTTACTACTTTAATGAAGATGATTGTGTGTTGCGCGTCTGCGAATTACTTTGTTTCATTCGCGGCAGTTTGCGCGTCGACTTGCTGAAGAGATGCTCAGCTACTCGTCCACTACGATGCGTGTTGCATTAGCGCAGTCATATCTGACTATAATGTCATAAAGCCTATAACACGCTCTCACACGTTTATTATTTTAACATTTTGGGAGGAGTAAAATTTGCATATGTGGTTTCAACAACCAGATGCATTTACACTTGTCCAGTTTCGTCTGGAATGCGTCCCAGACCACCTCCTGAAGTGGTTTGAGCGATTTATATCCGTCTCGAATGCGTTTCGGAGGGCATTTAGACCTGGTCTTTTCACGATCGGATAGCTATCCTATCAGACAAAACGCATGAAGTGACCAGGTGTAAACAGCCCCCTAGTCAAATGTGAAAACAAACAAGACTGTATGATATATTTACTAGCTTTGAATATATACCTGCTGAATAAGTCTGAAGTCGTGGCTAACTAGCATCATTCCTCCCTCAAACTCATTGATGGCTTCAGCCAGAGCATCTATTGTCTCAATGTCCAAGTGATTAGTTGGCTCATCCAGAAACAGCATGTGCGGATTCTGCCACGCAAGCCAGGCGAAACACACCGGACACTTCTGGCCATCTGACAAGTTCCTGATGGGACTGACCTGTTAGAGGGGGATATGACCGTTAAAAAAACCCTAAGCAAGTACAGTAGTACTAGGGGTGGGAATCTTTAGGCACTTCACGATCCAATACCGATTCTGGGAGTCACGATCCGATTCCAAAACGATTCCTGATCTACATTTTTTCCTAATTAATTCTTCTGCTGTGCAAATACATCTTTACAACTTTACATTTTAACCAAAATTGCAGTTTCTATGCTTTTTGTTTATAGTTGGAATCTCTGTAAGTCAGTACTGCCATCTTAAAAATAGGGGTGTGAATCTTCACTGGTTTCACGATTCAATTCAATTACGATTATCATGTCAACGATTCGATTCAACTCAATATCATGATGCGTCACATTCTCAATTTTCAATATTACTGCACATGGCTACATTTTCATATAAATTTTATATCAAATTTATTTTTTTGTAAATTAAATTATATAAGCAGGCTACTTTTTAAAAATAATTACTTCTTTTAAAAATAAGTGTTCTTTAAATAGGCTATCCGAAAGTTTACAGACAGTTTTTTCTTTTTTCCTCAGCATTATTGCTGTTTGATTATTACTGATGAGATCACAGACAGTGGCAGCTTTAACAGGCTGCACTCACACCGATTCACACTAATGCACATTTCTATTTCGATATATCAGATGTTTTGTCCTGTTCTGAAAACATAACGGACTGTGTTTTCATCAATTTCGTATAAAAGTATTAGGAGATGCAAGTGCATTTAACCGCAGCCGCGATCGAGCTTCAGGACATCAAACACGAAGCACACGTGAAAGTCTCTCACGTGAGTTTCGTGCATCTTATACATACTGCATTCCAAACAGCATAAATGAAAGCATATTTTAAGTAAAATACTGAAATAACGGCGGGTGGAAGCACACACTGTCAAGCAGTGTGGGTCACGTCCCAAAACCATTCAAGCTGGCGGTTATTAAGCCTCTTATTAAGAAACCACAACTAGATCCTAGTGAAAACTTGAATTGAATTGAATTGAAAAGCAATGTGCACGTGTCTCACAGCGCATATTCTGCGCAATGAAGCCTAGTGCACACATGTGCCATATGCGGGAAAAAACCATGCTCAGAATCGATTCAGAATCGTTGAAGAGAGAATCGCGATGCATCGGAGAATCGATTTTTTCTCCCACCCTTACGTAGTATGCTATATTGTCTGGCTTTCAAAATAATGCAGAACTCATGTTAACACCCTTACACATTAAACACAGCCACAGACATACCTGCTGCTTCCCTGTCAGACCGTAGCGTCCAATGATCTTCCTCATCTCCTCTATCTCTTTGATTTCTGGAAAACACTTCATCATGTACTCCAGAGGAGACAGGTCAAGCTCCAGCTGCTCAGTCAGATGCTGCAGGACAAACACAACACAAGAGCAATTACAAACAATTGGCAATAACTTAAATGAACATGCTTATAATCAAATTATGAAGAAATGTGTAAATAATGTGACTACAAGTTTTATGCCTCAGAACCGTAACGACCATACATCTCTTCCTCTATATATACATATATATAACATGACTGTTGTGAAAACGGTTAGAATAACACAAGTAGCAAGACAACTAATCATCTGGACTGTATTTCTATGAAGACGCCCTGGTGATACCTGCCAATCTTGACATGCGAGTGCTTTCTTATCATTCCATCTGTGGGGAGAAGCTATGAGAGACAAAAACACAGGTCAATGAATGTCAATGGCTTTAAAACTGAATCACTGTTCAGAACTTTAAAAGACTTTAACTGTCCAATCATATTAGCCTGTTTTTCATAACTGACCTCTCCCATCAGTAGCTTGAGAAGTGTGGACTTGCCTGCCCCATTGGGACCCACAAGTGCAACTCTTGTGTCCAGGTCAATGCCAAACTCCAAATTCTTATAAATAAAATGCTGCAATAATAAATAAATAAATAAATAAATAAAAGAAGAAAACAAATGATTTTATGAAATATTTGCTTTTACCACTGTTATATTTTCTACTGTGCTTACAAGACCTCACCACTCTAAAAACCCGTTCACACCAAGAACAATAACTATAAAGACAACTACACTGATGGAAAATAACATTCTGTTTATTATAAGCGCACTGCAGTTTTGTCGCCTGACACTTTAAATGCTTGATCTCTAAAGTCAAGTGGATTCTAATTGCCTGTCAATGTTTTTATTTTTAGCTGGAAAAAATCGTTCTGAAAATGATTCAAAATTATATAATTCCTATTATTATTATAGTATTGTTATAGCTGTTACTGTTATATTATACTTGTGGCGTGGTCTTGACTAATCTTGCAAAACTAAACTGATTATTAAAACTTTATAGTTATCATTATAGTTACCCCACTTTGTGAAAACAGCCCTTGATGCTTTGATGCTACTGTAAATCAGTGCATACCTAATTTAGACCAATACAATGTGACAACATATCACTGCATATGACAACACAAGAGAGCTGAAACAAAAATGAATATCCCAAACCAGGCAGTTTTGTGTAAATGTGATATCTGCAGTGATAGGCTGTTTGAAAGGCTGTGGACTCACTGTGTCACTGGAGTATCTGAAGCTGACATTCTGCACCATGATAACAGGAGGGGGGATCTTCCCACAAGGAGGAAAATAAAACTACAAAGTCTGAAGGAGAAATGTGTGGTTAAAACTCTCTGATAAACATCTGACAGTGGCACCTAGAGCCCAAGGGATAGCCCACCCTAAAATGAAGATTCTGTCATTAATTACTCACCCTCATGTTGTTTCAAACCCATTAGACCTTCATTCATCTTCGGAACACAATTTAAGATATTTTTGATGAAATCCGAGAGCTTTCCCAGGCAAAAAAGTGCACTAAAATACACGTTATTTCAGTGCACTTCCATAATGTACTTAAAGTGCTCTATTTTCACGCACTAATTTTGAACTTAATATACAAAAACAAATTATTATGTATTTCTTAATATAATCTTAAGAACATCTAAGTGTACTCAACTGTGCTATTTTGAGACACCATGAAGAACTAAAATTTGCTTTTAAAGGCACAATATGTAATTTTCGCCACTAGAGGGCGCATATTCAAAATAAACAAAGGCGTGGTTTGATGACGCTGTGACTGAGTGTGGAATCATGGGAGTTGCCGTCTTCATCCCCACAGCCGATGCAATCCGACGGGACTCGGGCAGAAATCATGTTCATGGATGAGCTAATGATTTATTAATAGTAGAATAGCCCACATATTTTTATACATTAAATAATTCATTTCAAATGTTTTGTAACTGTTAATATTCCCTTTATATGATATACTTAACTACATGTCAATGGTGTCTTTAAATAATACAATCAAGTACGCTATTTGTGCCATTAGTAGCACTTTTTCCACATTAAAAAATATAGCACTTTAAGTACTTTGCTAAAAGTATACTTTCTGTTAAATTGTGAATTTTAGTACACATTTAACGTTTGCCAAAAAAAAACTTTTAGAGTATTTATAGTTTATAACTTTTACAATTTTATATAGCACAAACAAATAAGAATGTACTACACATGTACTTGCTTGTCAGTATTTTTTTAGTGCATTCAAGTATACTTTATTTTTACCTGGGTTCTGATCCTGCATAGACAGCAACGCAACTGAAATGGCCCAGAAAGGTAGTAAGGACATCGGTAAAATAGTTCATGTGACATCAGTGGTTCAACCGTACTGTTATGAAGCTATGAGAATACTTTTTGTGCACAAAGAAAACAAAAATAGCGACTTCATTCAACAATTTCTTGTCTTCCATGTCAGTCTCCGAAGGTCTTACGGGTTTGGAACAACATGAGGGTGAGTAATTAATGACAGAATGTTCATTTTTTGGGTGAACTATCCCTTTAAGATGTTTATAGTTACTACAGCAAATGTCTGCTTCAGCCGGACTCACACTACAGGAGTTTTAGACCAATTTCTCCCTGATTTTCTCCTCCCAAGAATCAGAGAAGAAAATCTTGTTGAGGACCTCGGTTGGTTCCGATGTTCAGCCCAGATTATCTGGTAACGTGATGCAAAGTGTGTACATGTTTAAGATTTGAGGGAAGAAAATCTTCGAAGATTCTCCTTATGTGTGTGCTGCAACCAGATTCCATAATCGCTTAGGGTTAAAACTTCTGTAGTCTGAGCCCAGCTTTAGTAAAACCAGCAACTTCCTGTTGAAGACATTACAGACAACCATTGTAAAAGAAATGTATTTTTTTAACCAAACCACCAAACCTGTGTCAATCTGTTTTTCTGGTTTACATGGTTCTCACTATTCACCTCTTTTGTCTTGGTCATGGCATTGGTCAATTCAACAAAGTGATTTAGCAATTCTCAACTGATGCTTCATGATGATAACAGGTCTTGGGCAAGAGAAAATGACATGCAGAAACACAAAAATGTCCCACTGACCAGCTGCAGAGTGTGTGTTAATGAGTATTTGTGTGACAAACCTTGTCGTTCACCACACGAGCTGTTAGGCCAGAGGCCATCATTTTCTGCAGTGTTTTTTCTTTGCTCTGAGCCTGGCGAGCTAGCTTTGCAGAGCCGTGACCAAAACGGGCAATATAGTTCTACAGGAGATGAGGGGAATAATTATGACATTATTTTTGCAATGACACACATATGGTGAACAGCAGCAGTGCAGAACAAGAGCTATGAAACAAAAAATAAAATTTAAAAAGAGCAATAATGCCACAAGGCTACATTGTTTCACCTTCATATGAGCTATCTGGTCCTGCTCCCAGTTGTACCGCTTCATCTGGTTTTCCTCCAGCTCCTCCCTGGTCTTCACATACTGATCGTAGTTACCCTAAAAAACAAATTTTCATTACATACAGCATACACTGTTACCACTCTCATACCTTTGTTCCTTTAATATACTGTATGTGATGAGTGTGCTAATAAACCAGACTCAGGATCAGCAACAGTTCATAATTAGCAACAGTAATAAAAGCATCATATTTCAGGCCTTTTAAGGCTAGACCAGGAAGAGCACAAGAGGAGCCTCAGGATCAGGTCTCCTATTAAAGGCAATAGTACTGATTTTTTTAAGGATAACAAAGCTTTTGCATACAACTTCTGTGAGTTGGATGTACTTGCACATTTTCAAAGCTATGACATTACACATCATACCTCTGTCATAATTTTTATCATCACCCTCATGTCGCTCCAAACCTATATGACTTTTGGAACATAAAAGATATTTCGATTTCCATTGTATCGACAAAAAAAACAAACAAAAAAAACAGACGTAAAGATCATACAGGTTTGGAGCAACATGAGGGAGAGTAAATGATGACAGAATTTTTTTTTTCTTTTTCATTTTGGGTGAACTATCCCTCACTGCTTTCAACAGATTCTCTGCCTATAACATTATAGTCACACAAAAAAAAAAAAAAACTGAACATTGTGCTACAGGACTCGCAGTGTAGTACTTGAGCTTCCTCTGGTGGAGATGAATGATGTTTGTGCAGACACCATTGAGAAAGTCTTGAGAATGTGAGATGAGTACAAGAATTCGCTTAAAACTGAAAGAAAAAAAAATTTAATAATAAAAAATCTGTTAACTATAAGAATCGTATCGACAATTCCTTGTTTTAAAAAAGATTATTGTTTGTCGACTTAAACTACAATTCCTACGCATTTGTGTTACATGAAACTCTTTGACATTTAGTTGTGTTTCTGTGCATGACAATTTCCATCTCATTTGATTACTGGTCTAATCTAATAAACACTGAAGACAGTGCTCACGACTTAAGTTCTTCTTCCAGCCACACACAGGCATCCAAATCCAGGTGGTTAGTAGGTTCATCTAACAACAGCATAAAGGGCTTTATGAACAGGGCTCTGAAAGAGGGAAATTAGAAAAAGGTAATATTATGAACATTTATTATTGTGTTTGTATTAAATTGATAAATTATAACTTTTGGTCTCATTTGGATTTTGGTCCATTCATTATGTGAGGATAACCAATAAAATCCACGAAATGAGTGGTATTATAACATATATATATATATATATAAGGAACTATGAAAATGCTAATGTTTAAAATGTTTTAACAAAACTAACAACAAACTGCATTACACAGCAAGACTTTTTAACATTTTTCAACACTATTTCTACAAGTAAATAATAAATATTTTGTACTGACACAGAATAAACATTTAAATGTAATTTTCAAACCTGGCAAGGGACACACGCATCCTCCAGCCTCCACTGAAATCTTTCAGTTTTTTTTGCTGCATAGCAGGTGTGAAACCCAGTCCAAAGAGGGTTCGTGAGGCTCGAACTTCAGCTTTGTCTGCGTCCAACTCTTCCAAGCGCTCATAAATCTCCATCAGCTTCTCACACTCTGCTGCAGTAAAGAGAAAAGAATAGAGAAAATGGGACATGTTGTACTTGATTAAGTGCTGTGCTACTTGTTAAATCAAATTTACATTTGATTAATAACATTAATAGCATTTTATAGTATGTGTAACCAATAATAAGACATGAATTACCAGGTTTGTCAACTTGCAGATTAGTATAGCAAAAACCTGATGACAACTTGTCAAAATAAAAGCCGGTTTAACTTGAAGAAATTATGACAGAAATATATTACTATTGTACACTAAAATGCAACTCTCAAGTAATAATAATAATAATAATAATATTTTTAAGAAAAATAATACAACCAAAGTATTTTTCATTAATTTGTATTTTTTTATTAATTGATATTTAATTTATAATAATTTATTTGTTGTAGATTCATTGATTTCATTTCCTTACATTTTAAAAGATTGATTAAATTATTAAAGTTTTATTAATTCATTTAATTTGAAACAATTTATGATAAATTTGTAATGAACCATAAAACTGTAACGAGGCGTCAACAGAGTGAGGATCCATCTGCAGCTTTATTGAAATCGTAGTCAACAGGCAAGGTCAAACACCAGCAAACACAACAGAGGAGAAAAGCCAAATCGTTATCCAGGGACGTGCAAAGGGTCGGGGCAGGCAGCAAACAATCAGTAGTCAATGAAACAATAGCAAGAGTTCGGGGGCAGGCGGCTGGCAATCAGAAGGAGAGAAACAGTCCAAGTTAATACACAAAGAGGCCAGACACGGAAAGAAACACTCAGAAATGTACACCGGGGCAATACAAGACTTCGCAACGAGGGAGAGTCTGAGAGCTGTTTAAATAGTCCACTAATGAGAGAGAGGTGCAGGAGCAATCAGAGCCAGGTATGTGAGCGTGTGTGTGTGTGTGTCTGTGTGTGTGTGTATGTGTGTAGTCTGGATTGAAGTTCAAAACTCGGGAGAGAGCTCCCTCTGGTGGTGAGCGGGAGGCACAGCGGGAGTCTCGTTTGTGACAAAAACACAGAATCCAGAAAAATAAAATAAAATGGAAAACAGAATTTAGGGGAAAATAAAACAGACTTCACGGGGCACTTAACTAAAAGGTAGCTCTGTGGAGTTTAATTATGAGCCAACCAGTTATCTTTGCATTCATTCTCAAGGTCTAACAAACATGTGGAAAGTATTTCCTTCCCTGTTAATAGTAAATTAATATTGTGATAAATATCAATATTGCATCATATGGAAAAAATATTGTTATGTTTTTGGCAATATCGCCCAGCCCTATGAAGAGAAGAATAAGATAACCACGCTGCCCACTGACTGTTGAGCAGGTGAATTCTTGTATTGGTCAAAAAGTCCTCTAGTAAAACTGCTGTATTTAGTATCCTCAGTTCAGAAGCAATTAAAAAGTGTGATTACAAGGAAAGGTGATGTAACACCTCTGTCCCAACTTTTTTGGAGTGCATTGTAGTCATTAAAATCAAAATTAATTTATATTTACAAAATAATATTAAGTTGATGTTATATTGGAGATCTTTTCTCTAAACCTTTGTCAGTTAAATAAAGGTTAAACAAAATTAACAAATTACAGATACTAGTTTTTTTTGCATTTTACAAAATGTTCCAAATAATCTGAAAATGGTTTTATTTGTTCAAAAGATTTTTTATGTTAATTAATAAGCTATTGTAAATACCATAAATACCACAAATCATATGAACTTTTAGACTCAGGTCTATGTGCATACCTGTGCCATTGAGGCCAATGAGACCGTAGCGCCGGCCGGAGTTGAGCTCCAGGCTTGTGTCACTCAGTAACTCTTGGCCATGAAAGGTGAGTGACAGACTGCTGATGTGAACATCAGTGCCGTTGGGGTGGGAGGCCAAGACGCCCGTCACTGCCCGCGCCTCCATCTTACGCATCTCAAACTCATCCAGCTCCTTAGTCAGAGCAGCAACGTCTAAAGGGAAAAGTGAATGATGCGACATAGAAAAGTAAATGATGCATCATAGCTAAAGCTACAGGTATGTTTGCTGGTAAATTTGTCTGACTTGTGAGTGTGAACTGTCGGCGGCTCGCGCACCACTGACCGTATTTGGTGAAGAGCAGATCACCGCCTGCTGGTCAGATGAGCCAAGCTTCACGTGCTGACCAATGCATGGTTAACTGCGTAGTAATAAAAACTGCTTATCGTGTACTGAATGAAGGATGTTACTAAGGAGTATGGCAGTGGTAAGGTACTAGTTTCTTAATTGATAAATATGCAACAACACAGCAAACAGCAGTAGCCTACTCGTGGACAATGCATTTTAAAATATATATTTTTAATTTTTAAGCAATATGTAGTACCAAACATTGCAATAGTATAAAACTACAACAATAAAGGGTTTCATGTGCATGCAGGGATGTAGAATTACAATACATTGACCCCAAAATAATATTTTGTCAATCTTTAATCACAGAACCAGCTCTTTTCCTTTCTTTTGTGAAACACAAAAATGAGATGTAAGCGAAAATGACAGTATCATTCACCATTCAATTTAATTATATCTTTTGAGTAAATGATAACCGAATTAAAACTATCTCCTTTTAGATTTAGAAGTTTGATTTTTTTAAAATCTATTTGAGACCTTTTGAAACTAGGAGTAGGCCTAAAAGCATTTACATTTAGTCATTTAGCAGACGCTTTTATCCAAAGCGACTTACAAATGAGGACAATAAAAGCAGACAAAAAACATACATATTGTATATGTATTGTATCAAAGAAGATATTTTGCATTGCATCATGACTTCAGTATTTTCTGTTTGTGTTTTATTGTATCTCATTCATCTTTGTGAAGAGGAGAGAGGTCTCATTATTGCCCACATCAAAGTCTTTTACCTAAAGCAATTTGTTGAAATACATTGCAAAAAGGCAGATGAACTTGATTCAGAAATAAACAGTCAATGGGTCATACTTAAAGCAATACAACTATGCCAAACAACTATAAGATTTCTGGTAACAGGAAATTGGTTTCAGTCTAGCATCTGTTTGTCTACTCATTACATTACTAAAAATCTGCTTCAAATGTCATCATTTCTAAAACATAGATTTTTTATTCTTTTCTTTTAAATAAATACAATTAAATTTGCTATTTTACTTTCCCTGAAGAATGTTTTGAAGACACCTTATGAGGACCAGATGTAATTGTTATGCAGTTATTTTGTTGTTGTTGTTTTTTCTTTTCATTTATTTTGTAGCTATTATTTTACATTACTCACCGAGTCACTGCCCCCTCGCTTCTTTGACATTTGATGGCCAGAGCTTGTCATTCCTGGCTGATGGGGTAACGGGCTCGGGGTGAACAGCTCGCTGTCAGACTCGGAGCAGGACTCGTGTATACGTGGAACTCTTGTGCGCACGCTGCTTGTTTCCTTGGGTCTGTTTTAACCTTTTAACGCATCGAGTCACATCTTCCTCTGGAGCACATCCGTAGGTAGATTTGATACGTGATCGACGATGCTAGAGACATTCACAGCAAAGCCAAGAAAGTCATTTCGCGATTGTTTTTGTATATTTCATCGAATCCTCAGAAGAGACGCAGGGATTCATCTGACGTGAGCGCAGTCTCGGCGGATTATATACTGTGTTTTGGGGGAAATATCGCTGGTGGTGCTAATGTTGCTCAGCTTCACTGTGCAAGCAAAGCAGCTACGAAGCTAACGTTACGCCAGACAGTGGAGGACTTTTTATTGAATGTAATTTATCATTAGTTGTCTTTCGGACCACAAAATGGCTATTATACCCTGATATCCTGAACTTTATCATGTTTCAGTTCTCGGTCAGCTGTGCTTGAACGTTGCATGCTGGTTGGCTTCAAATGGTGCCGACTGGTTAGCGATCTAACCCTTTGTGCATCACCATTGGAGATGATTTCTCATCTAATAATGTAAATTTATTTCTCAGATAATGTGTTCATACATGCAGCTCGCGCATATTGCGTGCAGGAGGATGTCTGGCTAGATCAAAGTGGACTAATTTATGCGGAGGGAGTGGTAGTGTCTCGGTTTTGCGTGTTTGGATGTTAAATCAGACCCATATGTCCTGACGTTAGTCATCTGACTGTGTGTGAAGAGGCAGGTCAGATTGGTTGCTGTCGCTCCTCCTTTTGTTTTGGCTTTTCACTGCTTACCTTGACATCTTCGTCGTCCATTAATCTGATTTTGAAGTCTTCACCGGTCATGTTAAGATTGCATGCATGGTGTCAGGAATTTAAATACTTACCTTTACAGAATCCCTGTCAAATGCCTCTACTGTGATCATCTGTAAACGAGACTGTTGATCTGTAAACGCTGTTACTTGAACTGCTCTCTAAGGGCACCTATCGAGACTTGACATCCATTGATTGCTCCAGCATGCGCCTGTCTTCTTTCCTGGCTGTTTTCCGGCCTGCTCTGCCTCTCATCCTGGGCCTCTCTTTGGGCTGCAGCCTCAGCCTCCTGATGGTGTCCTGGACGCAGGGGGAGACCGATGAGGCTTGTGGAGATGAACTGGGCAATGGGAGACTCATACACAGTGGTCATATCAGGGATGTCCAGGATGGTCAAGATGGGGATGGGAATGAGGACTTCCAGCCTCGCATTGTGCCCTATCACAAGGACCCCAACAAACCACACAAGAAAGTACTCAGGTGAGTCCCTGGATATCAGTTTGGCTTCATTTCTTATATGAAAGGACTGAAATCTCAGTTAGAAATGGTTGGTCTTTTAGTTGTTATATATAAATTATAAAAAAAAATGAGACAAGATCTGACAAGATCTCAGGATTTAAAAACAGAAGGCCATAATATAAAATTGCAATGAGCTATAAAGATTTAAAAGTATTTACAATTATATTAAATCAGCCATGACCTTTGTTATTAGTAGCCAGTATTGAAATGTGACTTGTGAGTGGGGTTGGTTTGACTTGGCAGTCAGTTAGTAAGGTCTCAGCCGAGTATTTTTCACCTTGCCTCTGTGCTTTTCTTACAGCTGAATTCTTCACCACTTTGTGAAGCCGCAGACATAGAATATCTTATTATTCCTCTCATAAAAACACCCATGGCTGCATATGCAGAGCAGCCATGCCGGTGCCCCACGAGAGGTTTAGATGATGAACAGTTAAACTTGTGTTTGGAAATCTTAGTCTCACTTCTGTAAACTGGGACTGAAACATTAGTAACTGTTTGTGTTGCATCTTCTTGTAAATTACTTAACATTAAAATAATAAGACAGTGCCCGTTTATTCATTTTAAGCTTAACAGCTAAAAAATACACGTGTATTGGCATCAATTTAAATTACAAAACAACTTTGCATAAACAGAAGGGCATTATTAATAATGAAATATAATGTATTACAAAATGATTTTGGATATTAATAATTGGACATGTAAACAGAAATCATGTTCATCAGCTGATCTCCACAATTGTCTTTAACTTTTACATGTCATGTTTTGACTTCTATTAGAGACTTAAAGGAGTAGATCACTTCCAGAATGAAAATTCTGTCATCATTTACTCACCCTCCACTGTTCTGGAAGTGAACTAATCCTTTAAACTGTTTTAATAAAACTTTTGAGTTGAGCACACTGCCATTTTCATTACCGTCAGATTACCAATAACAAATTGAATTGTATTAATAACTAGATAAAAAAGTTCGTCAAGACAAACTTTAAGTTGGCTTGAGAAAGCCGG